AAAGCCCTACTCGAGGTGTGTTGGCACACACCAGTAATTCCAGCACTCACAAGAGGCTCAAGTTCAAGCAGATCCTCATCAGTATAGTGAGTTCAAACCCAGCCTAGGCTACCTGAGACCCCAATTGAATAAAAAAAAAATATGCTTGGTCTGGGAGATGGGTCTGTCTGACTGTAAATATGTAAGACACAGAAGCCAGGTATAGCAGTGCACGCCTTTAGTCCCATTACTCAATAGGCAGAGGCAGGTGGATCTCTGAGTTCAAAGCTAGCCTGGTCTAGAGAGTAAGACCTTATCCAAAAAGGGCAGTGGGACTCTAAATTACATTTGTTATTATTCCATTTTATTTAAGAGTGTGTGTGCAGGTCAGAAGACATTTAGGATTCTATTTTCTCCAACGTGTGGGTCCTGGAATCACGCTCAGTCTGTTAAGCTTGGTGGCAGGCGCTTTCCCCTGCCTGGTCCCAGACACTATGTTTTGTGGGTGGGGTCTTGAGATGTAGCCCAGTCTAGCTTAACACTTCTGTTATTTTGCCTCAGCCCCTGACTGCTGGGATCACAGCCCTGCTGTCGCCAAGCCTGGTGATAAAGCTGCTTTTGAATGACGGATATATCAAGTCCCAAAACGACAGAGCATAACCACGCCGAGATTAAATACATGTGTAATTGTGCAAGTGCCCACACACACAGTCAGTTCCCCTCTCCTGCGCCAGTGACATTGCGGTGTCTCTTTCAGAAGGTCAAGGAAGAGGGGAGGGGCATCTTCTGGGCAAAGAGAAGTTAAGCAACTTCCCAGGAGGGACAGGAAGCACGGCACAGAGACTGACACCGTCCCCTCTGCAGGCACACAGCCCAGAGGCTCGAAGTCTAGAGCCGCCATGTTGTTGCCAATGTCCAGACGTGCGTGAGGTTCCAAGCCCGGCCCCTGTGCTGACCCCTGGCTGTCTCCCTTTTCTGACTTCTTAAGGAAAAAATAAAATAAAACATAACCCGGGCCAGGAAGCATTCATCATGAGCTGTCCAGCTGAGGCCGGAGGGGCAGAGGTCAGCAGAGAGCTGACCTCAAGGACTCTGTGGGGATTCGGATCCGGCTGGGCTCCGGCTTGAGAGGCTGGAAATTTTCCCACCCTGAGATTTTCCTGCATCAATCCAGGAGGGCGCCCTGGATGCTGCCAGCCCAACCCCCCAGCTCCTTCCTTTCTGGGCAAGGTTTCCCCGACTCCCTAAGCACGGGTAGGGAGGGCCGTGCCAAGGTGGCAACAGGAGACCTAGAACATCAGACACTGGGCAGGATAAAATAGTGTTATCTGGCTCAGAATGGACAAGCCCCGGCCTCAGAACCACAGCTCAAGGACTCGGTATCAACGGGCAAGTGAGGAGTATCTGGTCATTTGTGGCTTCCCTATGAGTTGGACCCCAGCCCTGGTGGCCTTGGGTGTGTGCAAAAGAGTGCTTGGCCCTGGGCCCTGTTTTCCCGCCCCTGCACTTGGGACTCAGCCCTTCCTAGTGTTAAATAGAAACCTCTTTATTCTAAGTATCTACCATTCCTTAATACGTTGGATCGGGGCCAGACCTTGAGGTGAGGGGAAAGGAGGTGGGGCTGGGATATTTCTGTAGAGCCTTCCAGAAGGCTCCCCACGATGCTGGGATATGGGGGAGGAGGGTACGGGGAACGACCCCTGGCAGCCTTGGGGAACTCTTTGCTCGTTCTGGCCTCAGTTTCCCTTCTGGAGGGGATGCTCCGGGCTGGGTGGGATATCTAAGGAACCTCCCATCTCAGAGGTCGGTGTCTCAGGCAGGGAGTCACACGAAAGGGAGGAGGGTATGTCAGCAGCAACGGGGGCACCGGGAGTCTCAGCGATCGGCTCGGGCTCGGGCTCTAACTGGTGATGGAGGACGAGGCCGCAAGGGCAGACAAGCCAGATTGGGCCTGGCCAGCCGGGACACTGGGAGGCGTCCCAAGAAGAGAGGGAGGCCGAGACAGAAAGATGTACGGGGCACAGGGATGTCGGCAAAGAAGGCACGGTCCCGAGAGGGTGATAGAGCACCACCTTCAGATAGTTCCAGGTCGCGGGCCACCGCCAGAATCTCCTGACGGGCAGCTGTGTTTCGGAGACCTCTGATGTCAAGGAGGGCTGCCACGTGCTTCCGCCTGTTGGGAGAGGAAAGAAAGACAGAGGTACATGAGGATCCTGGACCCAAACAAATGCTCAGCCCGTCAGTGTACCCCGCTTGAACTCTGGAACGCTTTGTCTCATTTCCTGGTGTCATCTTGTCTCAGTCTCCTGAAGATATATCCAAATTTTCCACGTAGAATCGTCCAGAATTCGCACCTTCCAGCTCAGTAATCATCACATCTCTAATCTTAAAGTTTAGCTTTCAATCGTCGCACTGACTTAACACAGCAGTCTCCTTTAATAGAACATTTACAGTAATGGAGACTGAAGCAAGGATCTCACACCTAGGAGGTTCTAGGCAGGGGCTCTGCCACTGAGCCACGCCCCCAGCCCCTCACTGGGGGATTCTAGGCAGGGGCTCTACCACTGAGCCACGCCCCCAGCCCCTCACTGGGGGAGTCTAGGCAGGGGCTGTACCACTGAGGCACGCCCCCAGCCCCTCACTGGGGGATTCTAGGCAGGGGCTCTACCACTGAGCCACGCCCCCAGCCCCTCACTGGGGGAGTCTAGGCAGGCTCTACCACTGGGCCTTATCTCTAGCCCACCTTTTCAAGTTTTATTTTCAGATAGTGTCTCACTAAATTGTGCAGGCTTTCCTTGAGGTTCTGATTCTCTCATCTCAGTCTCCTGAGTAGGAAGATTTACACACTCGAGCTGCCATTTCCTAAATTCGGTCCAGAAGTGCTCGCGCTTGGCAGATGCCACAGCAAACCCTTAGTTCCCTCATCCCTTTCCTCCCAATGGCCTCACTCAGCCTAAGAGTGTCACCCCATTAAATCCTAACTTTCTCTTTCTGCAGGTCTGGTTTGGAAGCTTCCCCACCACTGACATTTAAACCTCACTGTCATTCTCAAGCTTTCAACTCCTAGAATACTCAACTCCACTCCCAACACAGTCCGCAAACGGGGGCTCCTCTGAAAATTCCACGACAGCGTTACAGCTCACAGTCTAATCGCCTCTGTGCCCAAAGCACTACTACTCCACAAGCCCTTATCCTAAATTCAAGCTAGTAGAACCTTCCCCTGCTATAGCATCTCAACTCCACACCCCTGAAGCACAGCAAACCTCCAAAGCTGGTGTGAGAGACCACGCCTGTGATCCCAGCCCTGAGGTTGGAGGATTGCTGCACACTGGAAGACAACCCAGGCTGCCTCAAACCAAACAAACTCCAGACCAGGGCCGGCAAAGTGTCTCGAGGTGCCAAGCCTGAAGACCCAAGTTCGATCCCTGGGACCTACATGGTGGGAGGAGAGAACTGACTTCTTGCAAGGTGTCCTTTGCCCTCCACATGTGAACTGTGGCATGCATGTTCCCCTCTCCCCAAATAATAAAGAATAAAAAGATGCCAGGTATGGTGGCACATGCTTTTAATCCCAGCACTCGGGAAGCAGAGGCATGTGAAGCTCTGCAAGTTCGAGGCCAGCCTGGTCTACAGAGTGAGTTCCAGGACAGCCAGGGCTACACAGAGAAACCCTGTCTTGGAAAATATAAAATGAACACAGCCAGCTCTAAGAACAGTTTAGCAAGGGACCGTTCACCAGACCATTTTGCGGTGCCTGAGTTTAGCCTCCATTTGAACTCTGACTCAACCTCAGAAATCCTCAGAGGATGCTGGGAGCCCTTGAAATCCTGTATAGTTCCAGGACAGAATCCTCTCCCTTGATCCCAAGCCTTCAAACCTGGAACTTAGACTTCCCCCCACCTCACTCCTGTGGAGTCTAGTCGCCCCTACAGCACCACAGCATCAGGAAGCAACCCCTCCCAGTGCTACTTAGACTGCTGTCTGTCACTCACAGGTGACAATCCTGTCCTGGATTTGAAATCAGGTCTGCTGGTCTGGGTTCAAGTCCCAGACTGCGTCACTTGACAACTGTGAGACCCTGCATTCTACAGGTAAGTTATTTTTGCATTTTTGTTTGTTCATTTGTTTGTTTTATTTTTTGAGACAGGGTTTCTCTGTGCAGCCCTGGCTGTCTTGGAACTCACTCTGTAGACCAGGCTGGCCTCGAACTCAGAAATCCGCCTGCCTCTGCCTCACAAGTGCTGGGATTAAAGGTGTGTGCCACCACCGCCTGGCTATTTTTGCATTTCTTAAAACAACAACAACAAAAACTCAACTAAAACCAAAAAACCAACACCCAACAAAAAACATACTTTTACCATTTCTACAATCCCCCTGTGGTGCTGTAGATGGGACTCAACATCTCATGTATGCTGGGTGAGTGATCACTGAGCCATCCAGCCCCTCCCTGGGGGTTCTAGGCAGGGGCTGCCCGTTAGGCACATCCCTAGCTATCATTAAGTTTTATCAAAGTAAGCCTTCCTTCCTTCCTTCCTTCCTTCCTTCCTTCCTTCCTTCCTTCCTTCCTTCCTTCCTTCCTTTCTTCCTTTCCTCCTTCCTTCCTTTGCTCTCTATGTAGCCCTGGCTGTTCTGGAACTCACTATGTAGACCAGGCTGTCCTGAAACTCAGAGTTCCACCTCACCCATGCCTCCAGAGTGCCGGGATTAAAAGCGTGCCACCACATCCTGGCTGGCCTGGAGCTCTTACTGTCAAACTATCCTGGATAATGATGGTGTAATTCCCACAACCAGCTCACAAGTAGAGTATTACCATCCCTAGGCAGCAGACAAGGAAGGTCTGGTCCACCTAGATTTGGACGTGCCCGGTGCTGTCTTCCGAGTGTGTGCCCACATGGCCCCGGCGGCGGTTCCCTGCAGGGCCAGCCCTTCCTGCCGCCGGGCGGCCTGCGCCCCCCTTGCCCCGGGGCTTCCTGTGACCGCTTGTTTGTTTGCGAGCCCTGGTGGTGGTGGCGGCGGCGGCGGCAGAAGGAGGGAAATCGTATTAAGAATGCCCTGGTCCCAGCAGGAAACAGCCGTCAGACACGCTCTCCGCCGCCACCCTGCCTTGGCGCGGGCCAGGAAACACTGGGACGGATGCCAAGGAGACCCGGGGCTGGCTGCAACTCACCTGATGTCTGGGTAGTCCCGCACCAGCACCCCGACCTCCACCTGGATGCTCGGAGTGTCCTCCAACTGCAAGATCTCGGCCAAGTGTGGCACCACCTGGTCAAGCCAATAAGCCTGGGACTCCTGTGGGAACAAGAGCTTCAGGGTCACCCAATGCAAGCCCCTTCTCCCCAGAACCCTTTCCGTGCTGAGCCTTGTTCCTGTCTTCCCCATGGGTAAAGGGTTCAGAAGGCAGACTAGCACCACATTAGCGCCAACCTTTGCTTCTATGATGGAGAACAAATTATAGATTCTGTTCCCGAGTTTTTACAGATAATCCTAGATTGGGTAACAGGAATTAAAACCTGCCAGTTGGCTGGGCAGTGGCCCATGCCTTTAATCCCAGCACTAGGGAGGCAGAGGCAGGTGGATCTTTTGAGTTCGAGGTCAACTTGGTCTACAGAGTCACAGGTCTTCCAAAACAACAATAAAAACATCTAACCTGTTCCATCCAGATTTGGGAGCAAATACCTATAATCTCACCATGTAGGAGGTGGAGGCAGGGGGATCTGGAGTTCAGTCATCTTCAGCCATAAGGAGTTTGAGGCCAGTCTCAGGTGCGTGAGACCTTGCCTCCAAAGACCAAAACCAAACAAACTTAAACTTAAATGCCCACCCTAGGGAGGCAGAGGCAGGGGCATTTGGGACTGACTACACAGTCAGAAGCTATCTCAAAAAACAAGGGCTAGGACACAGCCTCTTGATAAACTTGAGGGCCTGGGTTAATTCCTCATGGGGGAGGGGAGTGTAAGAGCTATTCCAGATGTGGGTTGAGGGCTAGCATGTACAAGGCTCTCCGTTGTCTTCTACACTGCCACCAAAAGAGGGGAAAGTGTCATCATTCAGAAAGCATGGCTAAAATGTCCAGAGTGCCACCCTGTGCTCTTCCTTAGGGCTGCCTGTACGTCCACAGAAATTATCTTGAAAATGTTTCAATAAGTGAAACTATAAACTCCCAAGGACACTCGGGCTATGAATCCCTAAAGCAGCAGCTGGCGAGTTCACGGGCCACCCTTCCTGCCCTGCCCATGACAACTGGACAAGAAAGATTTGGGACTTTACAAAGTCTTGGATTTGGTGACATTTGGATTCAGAAGATTTTTCTTTGTTTGGTTGGTTTTGAGATAAGGTCTCACTGCATAGCTCTGATTGGCCTGGACCTCAATATGTAGACCAGGTTAGTCTCTAAATCATGATCCTCCTGCCTCATCCTTCCCAGTGCTGTGATTACAGGATTACCATATCTGGCATTTTTTTTTTCCTTAAAAATACTTTAGCTGGGTGTAGTGGTATATACCTTCAATCACAGCACTCGGGAGGCAGAGGGAGGTGAATCTCTGTGAGTCTGAGGCCCATTTGGTCTACATAGCAAATTCCAGGACAGCAAGGAGTGCACAGACCGTCTCAAAACAAAACAAGACTTATTTTAAATGCATGGATGCTCTCTCTGTTCCGTGTGAATGCCTGAAGCCCAAGAAGCCAGAATACAGTGTTGGATGAGTTAAGGACGGTTGTGAGCTGCCATGTGGGGGCTGGAAACCGAACCCGAGTTCTCTGCAAGAGTAGCTAGGGCTCTCCAGCGCCCCCCCGCCCCGCCCCTTTTCCTTCCGTCTTCTTTGTCTTGAAATTCGCAATCCTTCTGCCTCAGCATTCCTAGTACTGAGTGGCAGGGGTGCATCCTCACGAACCCAGCTTCTGTGGACTATCTCTCTCCAAGAACCTTCCCTGTCCTGCTTTGGAAGCCAAGCCGACCCCCTACTCCGGACAGCTCCACCCCGCCCCCGCTCGCCCCCGCTTGTGCCCTCCCCACCCCCCACCCCCGGGTTTGCCCAGCCCAGCCCAACCGGGCACTCACCAGCCGGCGAAACAACCGCTGCAGCTGCGCCGCGTCCTCGCGGAGCCTCCCAGCCACGCGGCTGCGGGTCCTCGCAGAGCGACAGCGCAGACGCCCGCGGAGCAGTGGTCGCACATACTCCACCAGCGCCCGCCGGTGCAGCTCAGCCACCAGAACCTGGGGACGGTGGGAGACCGGGATAAACTCTAGATCGCTCTCGCCCAGCAGGCTCTCAGGAGACCCCCCGTTTCAAGTTCCGCCCGCACAGACGGGACACTCCAGACACACGATGGGGGACCCTCCCCTCCTCACGGAGGACCCTGCTCCTCTAAAGTCAGATTCTTTACGGGATCCCTTCATCCTACCAGACCCTTAATCAGATCCAACACGCACCACTTTCCCTAAAGTGTGCCGCACCCCAGGCTTTTCCAAACTCTTCTTTGCAGAGCCCCGTACCCCAGTTTCCACGGGCATGCGTCTCTCTGCAGGCCCCAGATGAGGAGTCACCTATCTGCTTCCAGAAAACCGACTCCCCACTTGGTAGGGTTTCCCCAGGACAAGAGCACTCTGGGCATCTCGTCCCCTCCCGTCAGCGCACCTGGTACGGTTCATCCTGCATCCTGCGCAGGGCCAGGGCCTGGGCGCCGAGTGTGCCCACGATGCCATCCAGAGCTTCGGAACTGCTCAGCCACTTCCTTCGCATCAGCTTGTTGAAGTGAGGCTGGGTAGGACAGTGCGGAAGGGAGGGTTTCAGCCTCCTCCCTCCACCCTCCCACACTCCTCTTAGGAAAATCTCCCCCTTCTCCCCTCAGGTTGGCCTTGAACTCTTGATCTCCTGGCCTCCATCTCCCAAATCCTGGGAGACCTGTTTAAAAGTGTGTGCCACCACACTGGGCTGGGGACACTTTATTTAAAATCTTCCCAGCTGGGCAGTGGTAGCGCATGCCTTTAATCCCAGCACTTGGGAGGCAGAGGCGGGCGGATTTCTGAGTTCGAGGCCGGCCTGGTCTACAAAGTGAGTTCCAGGACAGCCAGGACTATACAGAGAAACCCTGTCTCGAAAAACCAAAATAATAATAATAATAAAATATTCCCAAGGGAAAACAAAGGCTGTGTGGTGGTTGAGATCCTAGCTCCTGAACTGCTGGGATTTACAGACAGTGAGGGCACAGTGTCAAAAATGGCTTCCTGGAGGGGGGAAATGCACAGTTCAGGACTGAGGGTGTTAGACAGGCAATGGAAGAGGAGGGCCAGGAGCCCTCAAAGGTGTAGAGTTCTGACAGCCATGAGCTTGTGAGAACTGGGTCAGAGATCAATGTGGCCAGAGAGACCAATTTGCACCCCAGAGCTCAGTGGAAAATGAAAACTAGAGGCTCGTAGCTGGGAGGTGGCACACCCCTTTAATTCTGGCACTCACGAAGGCGTGGTGTCTTTATTCTGAGGACTCAGGATGCAGAAGCAGGCATGATCTCTGTGAGTTCAAGGCCAGCCTGGTCTACATAAGGAGTCCGAGACATAATGAAACTCTATTTAAAGACTATATAAAAACTGGGAACCCTCCTTCAGAAACTATGAGGACTTTCAGAACTTTGTTCATTCCCGCCTTCTTCTTCTTCTCCTCCTTCTTCTTCTTCTTCTTCTTCTTCTTCTTCTTCTTCTTCTTCTTCTCCTTCTTCTTCTTCTTCTTCATCATTTTGGTTTTCTCTGTATAGCCCTAGCTGTCCCAAAGTCTGTCTGTAGATCAGGTAGGCCCCAAACTCAGAGATCCACCTGCATCTGCCCCCAGAGGGCTGAGATTAAAGGTGTGCGCCAACACACCCTGCTTTTTCATCAACATTAATCCAATCTCTCCATGACTGAAGTGGCAACTTCTAGTTTGTTTGGAAAGTCAGTTGAGTCAAATGACATTTCGCTGGGATACGCAGGTGAAAGGGTGTCTTGCTAAAGCAGACAGGTGAAAGAAAGAATATTTTCCTGAAGCAGACACAAGTGAAGGGATGTTCTCCTATAGTGGACACGCGAAAGGACCCGGGATGAAGGAGTATAACTATGACCCACAGACAGTGGGAGAGGAGCACTGAGCCTTGGTCTGGTTTGCTCCGCCTTGTTACTCTTCACTAATGTATTGGTTTGCCTTACGCTGCACTGCTGAGCTCTACTTGTGGAGATGCCTCCACCACGCAGAGGGAAGCTCCACAGAGAACTGCTCTTGAACTTCTTGCTGCCTCAGAGGCCCGGGTTGGCAAGCCTAGCAGTTTCTTCTGGATTGAACTACAGCTGCTGGTTCGTGTGTGGTGTCTGCCTTCTGAGAGGACCGGACTGCAGCTGCTGAGTTGTATTTGGTGTTTGCTACAGGACTGAACTGCTGACAAAGAAGATTGAGCTCACCCCCAGAACTACTGCTCAACTTGCCCCGTACCCTAATAACGTTTCTCTTCTACTACCTCTGCTGGGTGGCTGGCAAGAGGAGAGCTTGAACCCTTACTAAAAATAAGCTGCAAAAATTGTTGCCTACACTGAGTACCTTAATTTTCAGAGCAGGGACCAAGTTCAAATTTTGGTCTCAGGCTAACCCCCAAGTCCTATGCAGCAGAGGATGATCTTGAGTTTCTGATCCTCCTGCCTCTACCTCCTGAGGGCTAGGATCATAGGCAGATACCACCATGACTGGTTTCCCTGTATTTATTTATTTATTTTTATTTATTTATTATTTTTTTGGTTTTTCGAGACAGGGTTTCTCTGTGTAGCCCTGGCTGTCCTAGAACTCACTCTGTAGATCAGGCTGGCCTCCAACTCAGAAATCCGCCTGCCTCTGCCTCCCAAGTGCTGGGATTAAAGGCGTGTGCCACCACTGCCCGGCTCCCTGTATTTATTTTAAGATAGGGTCCATTGTGCAGACCAGGCTAGATCATCTTGGGATCCTCCTGCCTCAGCCTCTCAAGGGTGTGGAAATGCCCTCATGAGGACTTTACACAGTGGGACAATGAAGAATTAGGCTGGCCCGAGGGGCGAAACTGGAGCAAACAAGGCCTCCTGGACTGTGGGGAGGGGGGCTTCCCCTTGGCAACACTGGGGACCCATAAGTAGCGGAGAGAGAGGGCTAGGTTCCCACCCTGCTTGGCATATTCCAGCATTTGCACGTGCACACTCACAGTCACCTGCATTTGAGCACAGACAGCTCTGCAAGTGTACAAGCTAAGTAGTCAGATCTGCTCGGCCTGACTCCACGTGTCTCCCTTTCTCCTCTGGCTCCTCGGTAACCACAGGCCAACAGGGTTATCTCCCAACCCCACTCCTTCCCTTCCTCTCTTGTCTACCAGCGTTCTCGGATCTTCTGTCCCTCTCATTTCCTATCTCGACATGCATTGAGTAAAGACGAAGGCCAAGGACTTCTCTGGAAACAAACGCTCATGTCTGGAAGCCTGATACTGGGAAAGGTAAGGCTAGCATACCTAGGCTGGCCTCAAACTCTGCCTCTGCCTCCCAAGTGCTGGGATTAAAGGCGTACACCACCACCACCCAGAAGATCCCTGCTCCTTAAAGGAGTAGGAAAGCAAAGGTCTGGCATATCCTGGTGCAGTAGGTGCTTTGGGAGAGAAACCAACAGGAAATCAGTCCTAGAATTTCCTGGATTCCTAGTCTTCGTCCTTTCCCTCCTGCAACAGATGGGGGTGGAGCTACAGGGGATAGGTTGTCTCTGAATTCCTAGATTCAAGGGATCCTCCTGCCTCAGCCTTCCTAATAGCTAGAAGTACAGGTGTGCATAAGCACACCCCGTGACAAGTCACTGTCCTGCCGTACGTATGTACGTACGTACGCATGTTTGTAGAGACAAGGTCTCATTCCGTATCTCTGGCTGGCCTGGAACTCACTTTGTAGACCAGCTTGGCCTCAAACTGCCTCCCAAATGCTGAGGTTAAAAGTGTGCGCCAACCATGGTTGGGTAGCCAAGGTGCTGTATTTAAGTGGGATAATCAGACAGTTTTGAGTTAAAGAAAGAATCGAGGAGGAGGAGCCACACGGCTGTGAGGTAGGGAGGGGGCAGCCAAGCAGAAGGAATCCGAGGCCTGGGACCAGAGGGGCAGAGGCGGGGATGGCTCGAGCAGGTGTTCCGGTGCAAGGCATGGAGGCTCAGAGTTGGGAGGAGATGAGGTCTCAGAACAGCTGACCAGGGTGCCTGGGGTGACGGGAAGGCTTCCGGCTTTTTCTATCAGGGAGCTGGGAACCTAGGATGACTTCTCCGTGGAGATGGGGACATAGGGTCTGTTCATACCACCTACTGAATGGGCTTTCCCCCTGCTGCACACGCGGGATCTTACCCATCTTCCTTTATCACCCCCTCACGACATTTAAAGAGGCTCTGGGGGGTATAGGGTCATGAATTTGTGGGACCTCGGAAGGCAACACACGACACAAGCCATCTCATGCTGGCGGCTCTCTGTCCACCCCACTCGGCCATGCCCTCCGCCTCTTCCTTCCTGCGCCCCCCTTTTCTCCTCTCAAACAGTTCCAACACGGCCATCATCCCCAGTCCTCCCTGCTTCCCCGAAAACTGAGTCATGGGTTAGAAGGAACTGGGGGCGAGGAGAGTGATGCCAATCCGTGCTGGCACAGCCTCACCCCAGGCCCTGCCTCACTCACCTGTAGTTCCTGAAACAACAATTCAGCAAGGACACGGTGGCAGAGTCGGGTCACACGGTCCAGGGCGATGGCTGAAGCTTCCCGGGCTGGTTCACTTTCAGGGGGCCCCACCCTGGCCAGTCGCTCAGCCAGAGACCTGTGAGGACCAACAGGCTCAGAGTCAGGGCCTTCTAAAACCTGAACACCCGTACTGGGACCAGCTGGGCCTGGGGTCGCAGATCTGTGACCCCAGTTACAGAAGAAGCTGAGGCAGGGGGATGGACAGTTCAAGGTCGTCCTGGGATCCAGGGTGACTTAAGACTAGCTTGAACAGGGTTGGAGACATGCCTCAGTGGTTAAGAGGACCCAGGTTTGCTTTCCAGCATCCACGTGGCAGATCACAAGCATCCGTAACTCCAGGTCCATGGAATCCCACATCTTCTTCCAACTACTGAGGGGACTGTACTCGTATGCACATATGTGAACACAAACACACACATGCATATACACACTCATACACATGCACACGTGTGCATACAGACATGCATACACATACACACGTGAGCATAGACACACACACACTCATGTACATGTGCATACATACACACATGCATTTACACACACATGCAAACACACACATACACACGCGGGCATACACACATACATTCACACACACATGTGCATACACACACTCATGCACACATACACATGCACAAATACACAATACATACACACATACACATGCACACACATGCACACACATGCATACACACATGCATATATACACACATGCACACACACACACAAGGACTAAAATAAATCTTTTTCTAAAAGACAGAAAGAGACTAAAGGTTCGTCCAATTTGAGGGTAAAATTCTTGCCTACCGTGTTACGGATTGCCATCGGTGGGGGGAAAAACTGAAAAGAAGAAATATATGCACACAGGACAATATTTAATTACACGTACTGTGGGAGAGAATTCTGATTGCTTGTGCAAGAACACTAAGAAACCAAGACACGAGCCTTGTGACCACAGTTTCTTTCAAACAAACCACAGAATTGTTCTGGATCATGATTTTGTGCCCCTCCCTGGTGCAGTGGATTGACGTTAGCTCACCTCGGATTTTTGACCACAACGGCTACTTATATCCATTTCTATGCCTCTATGGAAAAACATGTTTTGACCACGCATGTGGCCTTTCTGTCAAAGGCAGTTTGTCCTTGTGATTGGACTCTTTATTCATGTGACTGCTCTTAGCCCTCAGAATGTAAACTGCCTGAGGCTCTGGATGAAACCACCGCTGCGTGATCCTTCAGGCTGCCTCCCTGGTCCCCCATTCTCCCAGGCCAACTGTCTCCAGATATTTCTTCACAAGGTTTCTCTGGGTATCCCTGGCTGGTCCAGCACTTGCTCTGTAGCTCTACCTGCCTCTGCCTCCTGAGTGCTTGGATTAAAGGTGTGTGCCAGCACAACCAGCTATACGTATGGTTTTTAGTGCATTGGTAAATGTTCATATCTGTCAGAATATATGCGGGTAATGCTAATGATATTGATTTCTTCCAAATGGGCCAGAATGGGTAAAGAGGCTTCTCACCAGCTGCCCACTTATCATCATCATCACCACCATCATCACCTCCATCATCACCACCATCATCATTTATAGGGTGTGTCTGCCATAGCTCATGTGTGAAGGTCAGAGGACATCCTGAGACAGTCAGTCCTCTCCTTCCACCATTCGGGTCCCAGGGAAGGAACTCTGGGTAATCAGGCTCGTCTGCAAATGACTTTCCCCACTAAGAATCCATCTCATTGACCTGAATCCCCAGTTTTGTAAAATCCATTTAAGGGGTGCAGCTTGGTGGTTGTGTCTACTGAGTAAGCAGGTTCGGGGTTCTGGGTTTCATCCCAGGTGTGATAATAAGTAAACAAAGTCCACAGGGTGCGCTCGACTGGAGGCTGGGGCAGACAGAGCAGAAATTTAAGGTTGTTTTCAGGGACACACGAGGCCCTGTATTAAACCCGATCAGTAAGTGAATAATTTAAAATGATATGTGCTGGGCATTGGGTCACATCCGTTTAGTCGGAGCGTTTGGGAGGTGGAGGAGAGTAGATCTCTGTGAGTTCAAGGCCAGCCCAGTCTACATAGTAAATTCCAGGCCAGTCAGAGCTATGAAGAGACACTGTCTCAAAATTAAATGCGAGTTAAAATTAAAGTTAATAGAAAAGAAAGGTGATAAATATATATAACATATATAATATATACTGTATATAAATCATATATAACATTTATACAATATATACCCTGTATGTGTGTGTGTGTTTCTTTGCGTGTTTCTTTGCATGTATATGTTTGTGGGGGCCAGAGGTGATCATCAAGTGTCTTCTTCAATTGCTTAAAAAATTTGTATGTGTCTGGGTGTTTTGCCTGCATGTATATCCATGTCCACCTTTGTGAATTGTGCCTTTGGAGGCCAGAAGAAGGCATCAGATTCCTTGCATCTGGAAGCCTGGGAATGTGGGTACTAGGAATCGAACCTTGGTCCCTTGGAAAAACAGCTGAGTGATCTCTCAAGCGCCGATCCTATCGTTTGAGAGAAGAGTTTCCGGACTCTGACTAACATTATGGATGTGTGCCCCTATGCCCGCCTTTTACAATGGCTGCTGGGGAGCCACGCTCAGGCCTTCATGAGTGATACTGGCATCATTCTTTGAGCATAGCTTCTCCAACTCTCCAATTCTAACCATCAATACTCTCCTTAAATGGATGAGCGCCGCAATCTGGGCAGTCACGGGTTTCCCCAAGGTCCCCCAGACACCATGCCTCTAAAGCTCTACGCATGTGCCCTCTCAAGCTCACCCAGGGACCCCATCCAGGGACCTCCCTCAGTTCAGTCACCCAAGACTTCCACACACTGTCCTCGTGGATGTTCTCACCTCAGGGGGGGCCCGCAGTTGACCATCGAGATAGTCCTGCTGATGTAGGTGTCAGAGGGCAGCTCACGGACCCCTGGGTTCTCGTGAAATCGCTCGACTCGCTGCTGGAAGCTGGCGGGAGAGAGGACAATGGGCACAGATGGTATATGCTGCTGGGCAGGGTCCCATGCCGTGCACTCAGTCTATCGATTAAAGCAGATCTTGCTGCTAGCGTCTCTGACCCTCCCATTCTTATTTCCAATCACTCATCCCAAGTGCTGGGGACTGAACCCAAGACTCTTACATGTTAGGCAACCCATCTAGCAATACCCCCAGCCCCGTATTGAACTACTGAGCCATCTCTTGAGCCCCAGTAGCATATATATTTGAGATAGGTGCTTTTGACTCACAGCTTACTGGATGAGTCTAGGCAGGGGCTCTACCACTGAGCCACGCCCCCAGCCCCTCACTGGGGGATTCTAGGCAGGGGCTCTACCACTGAGCCACGCCCCCAGCACCTCACTGGGAGATTCTAGGCGGGGCTCTACCACTGAGCCACGCCCCCAGCCCCTCACTGGGGGATTCTAGGCAGGGGCTCTACCACTGAGCCACGCCCCCAGCCCCTCACTGGGGGATTCTAGGCAGGGGCTCTATCACTGAGCCACGCCCCCAGCCCCTCACTGGGGGATTCTATGCAAATGTTCGAGTGCTGAGCCACTGTTCTTTCTTTTCTTTTCTCCTCTTCCTCCTCCTCCTCCTCCTCCTCCTCCTTCTTCTTCTTCTTCTTTTTTTTTTTTTTTTTTTTTTGGTTTTTTG